AAAAAAAAAAAAAAAAAAAAAAAAAAAAAAAAAAAAAAAAAAAAAAAAAAAAAAAAAAAAAAAAAAAAGGCTGGTACAGAAAGTTTGTAAGCTCAGAACTTGAAATGTGAGATATCTTAAAAGTTTTGGATTTTGAAATAATGCTTGTGTACGCAATTACTCTGAAAGAAAGCTTAATTTAAGAATTCGGATTTTTGAATATCTAAAAGGTGAGGCAGTGTAGGTCCTGAATCCTCTCAAAATCTTTGGCTATTTGGTTTCCTGTTATTTAAAACATCCATGCAGTTATGATGAAGTCCTTGTAAGAATTTACAAATAAAACTAGAAAATGAAAGGCAAGACTTGTTTCGTCTTTGACAATATGTTTTTCTCCCCACTCTCAAATTATTAGAAAAAGATTTCAAAATGTTCTTTTTTTGGCACCAGTTTATAAGGGTGAAATAATTTAGAAATTTTTATGTTTCGGAAACAAATCCTTTCTGGTTGCTTCTTCCTTTGTTTAATGGAAGGGCCACTATCTTATGTACCTTTGCTGTCTTTTGTTCTTGCAGTGATCTTGCAGAATAGTCTGTTAACATCAGGAGCTTTTTCTTTAGCTTTTCAAGATGGGGATATTTTGATAGTTACTCTTTTAAAAACTAAGTAGAGAGTACAGTTGTGATATTGTTAAAATTCTGGTGACATCTTCTATCATGCTGTTTATGTACATATATAGTGTATTCACTTACATTTTACTGTCTGACTCCTTCTAAAAAGATTCATTCGTATTCAAGGAGTCTGTTTACTACAAGGAGTTAATATTTTCTCACCTCATTAATATTTTTCTTTTTAGCAATAAGGGTAGGATTTTATTGTTGTTAGAGATATGATTGAGAGACTCCTAAACCTTAATGTCATTGGCTCTGATTTTAACAGTGAAACTACAGCCCCACACACTTTATTTAGGGTGAGGTGTCCAAGAGAATACTCCAGGCCCCTGGTAGACCTATATATGTCATCATATGGTGTTTGTCTGAATTGTTAATTGTGTTAGATACGCCCTGATAATTTCAATTCTAGCTCTATGCTGCAGTTGCCTGCAGGATGAGGTAGCTTTTCCCATGAAACGAGTAAGTCCATGGAAGTAGTGGAGGGGAAAGGTCAGTGCAGTCATTGCCAGAAAAGTTTTTATTCTGACCATGAGGTATTTCTGTCTATCCTTCTTATTTGTATTACCTTTGATAGAACAAAAACAAATCAAAAAAAGCCCTTACCAATACAAAATTCTACCTTTTGTTCTCTCTGTCCTGAGTAAATACATGAATATATGATGCTGACAATCAGTTTGAATGTAGGGCTGAAGTTAGGTGAGATCTGAGCAGATGTATTAGCTTGTTAGCACCCACTTTCTCCTCATTTGTGCTGCTGTGGAACCTACCAGACGCTTGGCTGCAAGCCCAACAAAACTCGCTCTTTTGAGCTTTTTGTTTGCTTTGCTGGGTGAGTTCCACCTGGTGAGTTCTGTTGGCTCTCAGAGGGCCCCAGCAAACTCTAGAGCTGGGACAAAGCCAGCCATGAGAAGCTGTAAAGAAAACAGGAAATCCAGCTGAAATAAAAATCACTTTCTTTACGGAAGAAATTAAAAACTACAGGCAAAATATATTGTGACTTTTGAGTAGTAAGATATTTTGTTTGAAAAATTTTCCAAGTTCTAGATTTGAATCATCTGCTACTACTCATGATTTCCTCTTCTCTACAGGAGAATGGACAAAACTGAGAACTAGTAAGAGACAAGTCCAGTTTTGCCTGCAGTGGCAGTTTCTTCTACAAAGCAAATGCAGATTTTTACTGCATGTATTACAAAGTTCCAGCATAGGCAGATGGAACTCGCCAAACTGTAGATCTGCCTTCAGTGACTGAAGGAAGAGGGGTTCACCCCGATTGTCTCAAACTGGATAAGAAAGGAGATAAGTGGTGGAACTCTACTGTGAGATGTGTTAACATTATATTAATTTTTAACATCGGTATTTGTGTTCATTTGTACTGTGAAATGAAGCAAGCAAGAGAAATGAAGAGATCTGGGTAATATGCAGCCAAAATAACCAGTGAGTTCAGCAGTCAGTTTCAGTGTCCTGACACTAATTCTTAAAGATGCTTTCTTAATTGTTATAAATTAACTATTCCATGGTTATTTAACTTGTCTTTAAAACAAAAGCA